TCAATGATCTTTTCAGCCTACAAAATCTTCATGAGCGAGCGATTGTTACTCTAGTAAGAAATCTGTCAGAAGATGACCTTGCAGTCTTTACGACAGATGGAGAATCAACCCAATGGAAGGGCATGTTGAAGACTCAGTTTACACTTATGCAGTCTCTCCTGTACCAGAATTGCTGCTTCAATTGGATGCAGACTCAGTTTTTGATCAGGTGATTTATTAATCCAAGCTTGGTGATCCTTAGTGGTACCTGCCATTTCCGAGTCTCATTACTCAGTTTCTTAACCTCCAGGCTACGATTGCTCTTTTTCTCTGAATATTAAGATCGAAGCCATCCAAACCAACAAGATAATCTATGTTAATCTTCCAGTCAAGCAGGAGAAGACTCAGCCCTTCAAACACAAGAAGAAGCAGCATCATGCCTCAGCCTCGACCACTGCACATGTCAGGACTTCCATGCTGTCCCTTCGAGATTGCAAACTTCTGACTCCAGCGGTTAAGATCATTCAACGTTTGCTTGCATCAAGTAAGTTTATCTACTGTCCTGCTTAGCCCCAACTTATATTGTGTGTTTTGACTTGATTATGCACTAAAAAAAAAGAGAAGAAAAGGATAATGATGTGGAGGATGTGACTCCAGGGGGCATGTTTAATAGGGGAGCTGTTTTTCCTGTTTTTATGTTTTTTTGTTTTTTTGTGTTGTTGTGTCTAAAAATAAATAAAAAACTTATAATGTGTGTGCCAATTTGTTTTTGAAGAATGGCACGGTGGTCTGTATATTCCTTAGGAGCTGTACATGTACTTTTGATGCATACTGTTCAACAAAAATTATGAAAAAATTAATGTGTCGATTACAACCTCCCAGAAGGCTTTTATTTCTAACTTAATAATATTAGATATTATAATCTTATAATAGAAAACAAAACGATTGATTAGGCCTGTTAAATTTTATGCTTTGAAACTTTATCTTTTATCAGCACTTGCACTTTATCTATAAGGTCTTGCATGGTTTATCGGTCTCTGTCTATTGTATATTTTTGTGCATAAGTTTGTATCAGGTACCTGCATATGGAATGCTTGAGTATCAAATCAAGACAAAAATGGGAGGATTGAAGATGCAGCTAAGATGTGGCTGGAATGGTTAAAGAAGATCCTTTGTATACTGTGATATATACGGATGAGTGATTAAGGAAATCATGAACGAGCAAGACAGAAGATATGCGAGTCAGTATTTAAATGGTTAGAGTATATAAAGGGAAAAGGTAGAAAATGTTAGGATAAACACTTTTGCATACAGAATAGATACAACGTCTAAAAGCTTTAACTAAGTCGTAAGAGCTAAGAGGTGAGTGTTCTTTGTGTAAACTAAATTCACTTGTTGTGAGATCTAATTGTTTATCAGTTTAGAACTTGGAATCGTTTGAAGTCAATATAGGAGTCTAGAGTTGTATAACACCAAAAAAATGTAATCTTATAAAATTAACTTTTTTCAAATTCAAGTTTAATAAAAATATTTGTTTTGATGTGATCCAAAATACAGAAATCGATCGTTGTCTAGTTTTCTATACTAACAGTAGATAACAAAATTACAGATTTATGGTTTTCATAAAATTAAAGGACATGCATGAAACATCCATTAAAGTGATTTTAGTTCAGTAGTAGAGAAATTTTAACCCGCTGTTGACTGCCATTGAGGATCTGCGAGACATGTTTTGAAAGGTAGATTAGATTTATTCCTAGCTATTCAATATTATATTGAAACTTCGTTGTTGTTATTTTTTGTTTTTTTTGAAAAGGGTATTCTATTAAATTGCATGGGAAAGTGTTACAGCATGGAGAAAATACAAACATAAGAACAACAATAAGGCAACTGAAGCAGAAAGAACTGGAAAATTGCAAAAGGATACTATAGGAAGCAGCAGAGGATCGAAGAACTAGAAATTGTCGATTGCCACACGAAAATAGCGGGAAGCCACAACCCCTTCCAAGCTAGGACGACGGCATTATGATTAATATGGCGGAGATAAACACTCAGCAGACAGAAGATTGACAAAGCCGAGCCAACTGAAAGACTGGCAAGCAATCAAACCCGGAAACCCACACAATCCTCCGAACCCAAACTTTTACTGGACCGCGACCACAGCAACCAACGATGACAAACAACACACAGCAACCAACGATGACAAAGCTTAGGAGGAAACGAGCAAACTGAGAAGACAAAACCTGCACGAAACTGAGACAAGGGAAAGCCACAAAGAGAAGGGATGAAGCCCACCACTCCTTGGAAAGCAGAGAGGAGGTAGAAGGCCACTGCCCAAAGAGAAACGAACCGAAGCACTTCACCTGCGACAAACCAACCAGAGATATACAGGAGCACTCCACCAGAATTGAACTAGCTAGAACACGACAGCAAGAACCACAGCAGAGAAACCAAAGACGCTAGAGACTGAGCAAGAAGGCAGAGAAAAGAAAGAACGCCTAAATCGCTGAAGAAATAGAGCCTTGTGAAACTCATTCCGCACATCCTAAACACCAACAGATGCAGAGAGGAGAAGGAAGAAGCATCCACAGAAGAGAAGGAGAAACGATTCCTGGAGCCCAAGCAGCCACTGCCAAAGGTAGAACTCGAACCTACTAAACGAAGCCCAGAGGAACATAAACTGAGGGAAACATATACCCGACCCGGAGAGGCAACAGACGAGAGGAGGAGAAAGGCCAGCTGCAGGAATACCAAGCACGCTGCAACTGATAAACGAAACAAGGAAAGGATAAAGAGGAAAGCTAAGCCACAAAACCTGAAAGCCGTCCTCGAACTCTACAGAGACGGAGACTAAACCAACACTCCGGCAAACAAACCCAGAACGCAAGAAGCAGGAACTAGCAAGGGAAGATGGCGGCGGCGAGAGAGCTCGATGAAATCTCTAAACCCAACCTCAAAGAGACACTGTCCTCGAGCATCTGCAGAACGGAGAGGCTCACCGAGAACACTACGCTAACCCACAACACAATTTGGATATACAATATTTATATACATATTTAATTACTTTTGACTCTTAAATAATTAAATATTATTAGTTAAATAGTTTGTTACTTATTTACTAAATATTATTAGTTAAATAAATTAATAAATTTTCTTAGTCCCAAATCGGACTTGTTCAAAATATGATACAATTCGATAAGATAATATTTTTATAGAAAAATCTATATAAATATATAGTTTCTTTAATATCATAAATAAATAATTACCATAAAATAATTTTATATAAATATATAACTATGATAATTTACTAAAATATAAATATATAATAGTTTGTTTTTAATGTTATGGTTTATTTACAATTTAAAAGTGAAATATTTCAAGATATCATTAACTTTTAAAACAAATATAATTTTTAATTAATTATTAATAAATAATTTATTTAATTCTAAAACCGATAAATTTATAACTCCATAAATTATTAAAATATTAAATTCACTATATTATTAATTTATAAAAAAAATTATAGTAATTAAATTGATTGATTTAAAACCGACAAACTAAGAAAAAAAACATGAACAAATCTTGCTGAAAATTTGATACTGTATATAATAAATCAAACATTAATTAAAAAAATAATTAATATTGATATTATCTTATAAAAAAAAGCAATAAAGCTATATACCATATTTGTTATCTAAGAATCACATATAAATTAAATCATAATCTAATATATTATATTTCTTTATATTATAAATCTGAATATTAATAATATATATCATAATAATTTTGGAAATTAGTCATTATTTTTTTTAATTGATGTTTCTAACGAAAATAACATATATTTTTAATAATATATTTTTATATATATTATTATGAATTGTTAAAAGATATAAACTTAAAAATATTTAGCTTGAAGTATTATATATGTTTTCACAATTATTTTCATGCATGTTATAATTAAAATAATATGTGAATAAAATCATTATGGCTTTCTTTTATTTGTTCTGATTGATTTTGAGAAAAATAAAATATTATTTTTAATTATTCTGTTGTATTTATAATAATATTTTTAATAACAATTAATAAACATATTTCTAATAAAAGTAGTAAATATTAGTAAAGTGTTATATATTTTGTTATGAATTTGAGGAAAGTAAAATAGTATTTTTAATTTTTTAGTTGTTTTTATTAGAATATTTTTATATGAATAATCAATAAACATATTTTTTAAAAGTATTATATATTGTGCTATGAATGATAAAAATAGTAAACACTGAAAAATATTATATAATTTATTATGAATTTATAATAAAATATATATGGATAATATTTTTTAATATTATATAATAAATTTTGTGTATACTAATTACCATTAAACAAATTTCGTTTTATTAAATTATTAATTCTAATATTATTTTATTTGAATTCATTTAAAAAAAAACTTAACATTTTTATGGACATAAAATATACAATGGCATATTATGTAATTAGTCTAGTAATATAATTTTTTTTTTAAAAAATTAGCTGAAATGAATGTGGAGTTGACACATCAGCATAATGGCACCACTATAAATACTTACAAAAATAAGGTTATTTTTTAAAAATGCTTCTCTTTTAATATAAAGGGATAAGAAAAAAATAACTATGAAATCAAAACAAACCAAATCCTCATGGAAATAAATCCCATATACCATGGCACAAAAGCCCAAGAGAACATGTGATGAAGACGCGCTGCATCAACTTTTCTAGTATGCGTTCAACCAATGAACCAAAACGTTGATTGAGCCCGGCCGATCTAGACTGGACTAGTGTAACCATAGCAACCGGGATGATCATGATACTATGCCATTATCGCAAAAGCCTACTTTCTTTATATTTTCAAATGCAGCTCAATAAGAATGAAATCGTGCAAAATATACCTACTTCTATAAGTATATTCTTTGATCATGAGCCTTTTCCTTTGTTTTCTTTGGTTTTTTCTTTAACATCTAAAGAAGATATAGTATATAGTAGTATTAGTATACACAAGCTTTAACGTACTAGTAGAGTTAATATCAATCGGGTTCATAGTATATAAAACTCTGGCTTATTATATCCAATGGAGAAAATAATAATAATAATAATAAATCTCTCAGTGAAACAGAGCTACTAATAATATGGCCTCATCATTGGCTTTTCTTTCCTTTCAACAATTTTCTGAACCATTGAGCTGATTTCTTCGGGTATCTCTTACGTCCATCGTTGAAATCGACGTAAACCAGCCCGAACCGAACCGTGTATCCCATTGCCCACTCGAAGTTATCTAGCAACGACCAAGCGAAAAATCCCTTCACATTTGCTCCAACCGAGATAGCGTCTTTAACCATCTCGAGATGTCGAGCGTAGTAATCAATTCTATCACCATCTTGAAGGAAGACTTTACCAGTACTAGCTTCATCTCTACCGTTCTCGGTTATGTACATGACAGGATCCTTGAACTTGTATTTTGCATAGAGGACAAGATCACGAATCCCTTTTGGATATATTAAAAGCCAATCCGATGCAGCCTTTGGACCGATGGGAACTCCTTCTCTTTCACCAGTGACGCTAGCACAAGGATCAGAGAACATTGTAATGTTTTCAGTGGAGCAAGGGACATCTTTTGCGTAAGAAGAAGAGTAATAATTGATGCCGATGAAATCATATGAGCCCTTGAGTATCTTAGATTGTTTTGCAGTGAATGTAGGCAAGCGACCACCTTTTACATTGTTGACCATGTCCACCGGGTATTTACCGGTCACAAGTGGCTCTATGAAGTAGTCAAATGTGAAGGCCATGGCTCGTGCCGCGGCTAACTTATCCTCGGCTGATTCTGTATAGGGCAAGTTCCAACCCGCGTTCAAAGCAATACCTACTTGACCTTTTTGAGACGCCTGTTAAAAAACATTCAAGATTGTATAAATATACTAAGATCCGGTGATTCGTAATACACTTTTTTCCGGCTTGCTATTGTTATAAACGCAATAGATTTTCTGGTAACTTGTCGATTAAGAAACTGAGCAATTTTTTTTAACACTGACCTTGTATTTTTGTCTGTAGGCTTTGACGGCGGCTCCGTGTGCAAGGATAAGGTTGTGACCAACGATATACGGCTCGGTAGCTCCATCTCCAGCGGTGCAATTAGGGTTAGTGAATTTGGAGCATCTTCCTGGAGCCATTACACCCGCAACATACCCTTGTTGCACCACAGTCAATGGCTCGTTCAGTGTCATCCAATGCTTCACTCTATCTCCAAAGTTCTTAAAGCAGATATCCGCATAATCGCGGAAATCGTTCACAATCTCTTTTCCACGGAATCCACCATAAGCATCTTCAAGGGCTTGTGGTGTATCCCAATGGAAAATTGTGGCAAAAGGCTTGATTCCTTTGGACAATAGCTCATTGATTAAGTTGTTGTAATAGTCAATACCAGCCTGGTTGATTCCTCCTTTTAGATTCCCACGAGGCAAGATTCTCGACCATGAGATTGAGAATCTGTAAGCATTGAAACCAATTTGATGCAGTATAGCGACGTCTTCTTTGTAAAGATGGTAAGAGTCATCTGCAATAGATCCATTGCTACCATCTTTTATCTTCTCTGGGTATTTTTCAGAGAAGGTATCCCAAATACTTGGTCCTCTACCATCTTCATGAGCAGCTCCTTCGACTTGGTAAGCAGAGGTTGCAGAACCAAATATGAAATCTTCTGGGAAATCACTTCGTTTCAATTTAGGTGTTGAAAATTTGTTCTTGGCAAGAACTTCATTGGAGGCCAAGACAATGAGTACTAGTACAAAAATATATTTACCTCTCATTCTTACTTTCCTGTGATTGTTAAAATCTTGTTTTCTTTTAGTAAGACGAATTAGGTGGAGATTTATATAGGAAGAGAGCTGTTTTTTTTCACACGGTAAGTAAATCTATAAATAGAGGAATTTTGATAAAGATAATCTGATAGGGATTAAAAGTATGATCATTTTCCTAATTTCTAGTTGTTTCTCTTAATTAGTAAATACAATATTCAACTAACCTTATCTTTTATCTTTCAAAATAGGAAAAGAATAGCATGAGATCTTATATTTAGGTGGAGATCTTTTTCTTCCTTTTCTTTTAGTTTTGCAACGATTTTTTTAACAACTGGCATCGATAATATAAACATGTACAGTATATCATTTTAGACAAATACCAATAAATGATAACCAATAATCTCTCATTCTTCACTATTCACATAGGGTCTGACTGGTATGTCAGATGAATAACAGAATAGCGGAATAACTGAAAAATTACTAGCGAAATAAACTGAACTGAATAATATTTTAGCTGAATAATTGTGAAACGCTGAAAAGCTACTTTTAGTAGATTAATCACGTTTTGTTTTTTTTTAGTTATATTTTTAACACGCTAGCAGAATCACGTTTCAAAAACATAAAAAAACGTGAAAACGTGAAAACGTGAAAACGTGATGAATAACATGAATGGTAAAAAATAACAGAATCAAGTTTCCAAAACGTGAAAACGTGAAACAGCTGCATATCATTCCAACCCTATGGTTATGGTAAGATGTATGTAAAAACTCTTTTTTATTTTTTAGTTTACCAATCTCCTATATATTAAAAAAGAAGCATTTAAAAGAATAACCTTAAATTTGTAGAATATTACAATGGTGCCATTTTGCTGATGTATCAATCCCACATTCATTCTCAGTTATTTTTTTAAAGAGTCTTAAATTATTAGACTAATTACATAATATGCCATTGTATATTTTATGTCCACACATATGTTATGTTTATTTTTTAAATAAATTCAAAGGAAATAATCTATAAATAATAATTTAATATATAATACTTTAAAAATATTATCTACAAATATTTTATTATAAATTCATAGAAAATATATAATACTTTTAAATCTTTTCTACTTTTATCATTTATAACAAAATATATAATATTTTTTAAATGTTTACTACTTTTTTCAAAAATATGTTTATTAATTATTCATTAAAATATTTTTATAGATACAACAGTAAACTAAAAATTATATTTTATTTTCTTCAAATTCATAATAAAATATATAATACTTTAATAATGTTTATTTCTGTTGTCATAAAATATTTTTATTAATAGTTCACTAAAAAATATTCTTGTATACAACATAATAATTTAAAATAATAAATTATTTTTCTCAAAAATCAATCAGAACATATAAAAAAAAGTTATATTGATTTTATTCATATATTGATGTAATTATATCATGCACAAAAATAATTATGAAAACATATATAATACTTTAAGATAAATATTTTGATATATATTTCTTAGCAATTCATAATAATATTTACAAAAATATATTATTTATATATGTTATTTTCTTCAAAAATAGATCAAAAAAATCATAATGACGAATTTCTAATCAATCAGAAAAAATCATAATGACGAATTTCTAATATTATTATGATATATTATTACTTTTCGGATTTACTATATAAGAAAATATGGCATATGGTATTATTACTTACTATATATATGGTTCTTAGGTGACTAATATGGCATATAACATTATTGCTTACCTTTTTTTGGTAAACTACCATAACATGATGATACTAATATTAACTGCTTAGTTTTCTTTTGAATCAATGTTTGATTTATCATATACCAAATTCTCTGCAAGATTTGTTTATTTTTCTTTTATTTTTCTTAGTGGTTAGAAAATATTTTAATTTGTTAATCGTTTAAATAAATTACCGAAAAAGTTTAAGTTTGTCGGCTTTAAATCAATCACTATAATTACAATAGAAACTCTATAAATTAATAATATTGAGACTTTAATATCTTATTAATTTATCTGTTTTTGAATTAAATAATTAAATAAAAATAATATTTGTTTTGAAAGTTAATAATATCTTTAAACATTTTACTTTTAAATTGTAGATAAACAATAACATTATTCCAAAATATTTTAGTAAATTATGGAGTTATACATTAATATAAGATTATTTTATGGTAATTATTAATTTATGAAATTAATGAAACAACATATTTACATAGGTTTTTTTAAAAAACTTTGGCTTTTTTGGTAATTTATGTTTACATATTATATTTTATAAGTAGACAAACTTTCGATCAATGCCCATTGATAAACGGTATTAAAGAGAAATCTATGTTTTTATATGCAAATTTATTTATTAAAATATTTTTATATTTTGAAAAATATTTTTTGATTAAATATATTTAGATTTAATAACTGTTTATTGTAACAAGACTAATTATTTACATTAATTTATGGTTATAGTTGTTACTTTTCTGATTTTAATGTGTTCTATATACTTTTTGTTTCCAATTATTTTGATCATATACATATTCAAATACTTCTGATTTTAATTTTAGTTATCCACTTTTTATATTAAAATTCCGAATTTTTTACAAATTAATAAATATAGCATATGCAAAGCTTTGGACATTGGTGAAAACACTGAATCATGACGTTTATCACAAGATATATAAGATTTATATAGCGACTTTGTATTTTTACCAACTAAATCTTGGACCATGTAATGATATTTAATTTTTAAATTAATTTATATAACAAGTTAAGTATGTTATTGCATACTGTTATATGAAACTCATATAAAATTAATTATATTATATTGTATAATCTTAAAATTAATCTAATTTATATATATAATAATTATTTTACCCCGCACAAAATACGGATTATTACCTAGTTAATTATATTTTTCTATTTTGTTCTTCTCAAATATACACAAAGAAGAAGAAGCAAAAAAAGAACAGGAGAAAGAAGAAGGAAAAGAAGAAAGAGAAGAAGAAATACAAAAAAAAACACAAAGAAGAAATGCCAATATTATCGATGATGGAAATATTGTTAATGGTGTTGTAACAAAGATAACATTAATGCACGATGATAACACAAATAGAGATAACGATAATATTAGTGTTGGTGATAATAACATGAGGATGTTAATGGTATTAACAATGTTAATTAACTAATAACTCATATTTGTTATTATATGATAATTATATTAGCATGATAATTTTTATATTTGATATTTTTATTATTTGATAATTAGATGAAAAAATAATATAAATTAATTAATAACAAAGTTATTTTACTAGTTATCAATTTAATTTTGTTCAGTTAACAATGTTAGTTAATCAATAACTCATAATTTTTATTATATGATAATTAAGTTAACATGTTAATTGTATAATAACAATGTTAGAATAGTATAAAATTAGATGAATAGTGTTGATTGAGTAATGTAAACAATGTTACCGGTAAAAATAATAAATAATATCACCATTAATTTACGTTGGCACTACAATTTGAAGACTAATGTCATTTATGTAATTAACTCAAATGAGAAGGATATATTTAGAATAAAATTTGTTTCTTTTTGTAAAACATCTAATTTTCAATTATCCATTACCATATACTTAATTAATTGGTCAACTATGTATATTGATTAAATTTATCCATCTTTTTATTCGCTGGTAATGGCCAATTATAATCATTGTTTACTGCATGAATAACGGATTTAACTTTACACACATAATATTTGTAATTACAATAAAAATGTGATTAAATTCAATGATGAATACCAAAAATATACTGTACATGATTACATTTTTATCATCCCATTATCAGTGTTTGATGCTTCTTCATTAGTTTTTAATTTTTATTATTGAATTTATTCGCATCTTTATTATAATTACAAATATCGTATGTAAATTTATTTACTAAAACTCTTTTTCGGAATGTCTGGAATTTTAACTTTACACACATGATATTTATAATTACAATGAAGATGTGATTAAATTCAATGATGAATACTAAAGATATATTGTACATTATTACATTTTTATCATGCTATTATCAATGTTCGGAATGTCTGGGATCTTAGTGACACAGCAAAGCAATGGTTTTTTGTATATTGGCTGACTAGTCACCAGCCTCTTTTTAGAGCCATTTTGGAATCACACATAAAAGATCACAACTTGAACCACTTATGTCTACTATTTGTCAGGGTTGAAATTTTACCTCTAATCACAGCTCGGATGAGGATGGTCGTATTATTTTTATTAGGAAGGATACAGTTGATGTAACTGTTAAGCTCCACTCCCGTCAGTCTATTACCTGTGAAGTTAAGCTATCCAATGGGGATCAGTTCTATTATACTGCGATTTATGCATCAAATTTATCAGAAGAGAGAACGGACCTGTGGATCAAATTATTGGATGCTTTTCAGTTCCTCAAGCTTGGTTTGTACCTGTGGATGATGGGTGGGGATTTAAATCAAATCCTAATGTGGAGCATTCAGATCCTAATGTACACTGCCTTGATTCTCAAATGATGGACTTAAGAGATTGCCTTATTCAGATGAACTGTTTGATTTGAGGTATTAAGGGCCACGCTTCACTTGGACAAACTGTCGGCCATCTTCCTCTATTGCAGAAAATCTTGACAGGATTCTTGTGAACATGTCGTTTGTCTCCAACTTTGCTCAAAGTTCTGCTACTTTATTACCCCCTCTGATATTTGACCATTGCCCATGTATGCTTGATATAGTTGTTCCCCTGCCAACGGTGGGAACTGTCCTTTCAAGTCCTTTCAATTACTTGACAAAGCATCCTAGCTTCTTGCAAGTCGTGTTTGATGCTTGGGCTCAGCTAGAAGTCAAATGTTTTACTCTATCAAATCTTTGTTGGAAGCAAAAACTGATTAAAGGAGCTCTAAAAAAACTAAACATGGATAACTTTTCTCAAATTCAAGTGAGGGTTTCAAAGGCTTACCATTAGCTCAAGGTTATTCAGATTCAGGCCCTCCAGATTCCTTCTCCTCAGCTTTATCTGATGAGCGTGCTTGCCATGATAAGTGGAACTTCCTGTAGGGTATTGTGGAATTGTACTTCCAGCAAAAATCTAGAATAAACTGGCTCAGAGTGGGTGATCACAACACAACTTACTTCTACAAAGGTTCTCAGGTGTGAGCAAGTTATAATTGATCCGGTACTTCACTTTAAGTAACGATTCAGTCATTAACGACCCTCTGGCTATGATTTCTCTTGCTATTAACCACTTTAGGTCGATCCTTGCCCGGTATGCTATGGCTCTGCAATCACTGCATTGCTCCCTAATTGGTTCTCGGATTTGCTGCCTTTCATTTGCTCCGCTGCCCAAGCTTTTTCTTTAATCGTATTGCCTACAGCGGAGGAAATCACTAGAGTAATGTTCAAATTAAATAGTAATAAAACTACGGGCCCAAATGGACTTACCTTCAGTTTCTACAAAGCTGCTTTAGGTTTTTTGGGAGAAGAAGTTACCTGCTCTATTAGGGAATTTTTTATCTCGTCTTTTCTGCCCTCCTCAGCCAACTCGACTATTTTAACTCTTATTCCCAAGCTTCCTAGTGCTTCTCGAATTGTTGACTACTACAAGCCAATCGCTTGTCTCAACAGAGTCTACAGAGTTGTGTCTTGTCTGCTGGTAAATAGGATCAAGCTGTAGCTCGTTACTTTAATCATGTCAAATCAAACATCGTTTGTTATGGACCGATTACTTGTTGAAAATATGGTGTCTAGCTAGGGAAATAGTCAGTGGTTACCATAAAAATAAAGGCCCGAAGAGAATCACAGTAAAGGTGGACATTGCTAAAGCTTTTGATACCCTATCTTGGGAGTTTCTTTTAAACTATCTGAAAGGCTTATCTATTCCAGAACAATTCATCTATTGGCTCAGAGCTTCCGTTACTACTCCTCAATTCACAATTGGCTACAACGGAACAGTTTAAGGGTATTTCAAAGAAAAAAGGAGTTTAAAGCAAGGTGATCCCTTGTCTTTCTACTTATTTGTCATAGCTATGAACTGTCTATCCCACATGCTAGATAAGGCACCAGAGGAAGGCCAGTTTAAATATCATCCTAAGTGTGAGAAGTAAAAACTTACCCATTTGTGCTTTGCGGATGATCTCCTGATTTTTATTGAAGGTTCACTGACTTCTTTGCAATGTGTTCTCCAAGTGCTTTGGGATTTTGAGCTTCGCTCTGGCTTAGCTGTAAGTGTCCAAAGTCAAGTTTCTTCTGTTCTGGTCTTACGCGGCATGAAATGGACACCATCAGCTTCTCTATGGGTATGCCTAATGGGAGTCTGCATGTTCGTTATTTGGGTGTACCCATGCGCACCAAAAAGCTATGTCTTCTCAACTATGAAACTTTGTTGCAGCAAGTGTGAGGCAGAGTTACCTGCTGGAGTGCTAAATCTCTGTCTTTTGCTGGCAGGCTTCAGCTTATAAAGGCATTAATTTCAGGGATCTCCAACTTCTGGTGTTCAACTTTTGTCTTGTCGAAGGCCTGCATTAAGAAGATAAACTCAATTTATAGTGCTTTATTGTGGAAGGCGAGTGTAGAGGGTAACCATACAGCTAGAGTTTCCTGGGCAAAGGTGAGACATCCAAAAAATAAAGGCGGTTTGGGAATCAAAGATCTCACCATTTGGAATAAAGTGTGTACTCTAAAACTCGCATGACTACTCTTCTTCTAAGCAGGGTCAGTTTGGGTTGCTTGGTTCAAACATGAGATTCTTGATGGGTCTCTGTTCAATTGGCTACAACGGAAAAGTTTAAGGGTATTTCAAAGAAATAAGGAGTTTAAAGCAAGGTGATCCCTTGTCTTTCTAGTTATTTGTCATAGCTATGAACTGTCTATTTCACATGCTAAATAAGGCACCAGAGGAAGGCCAGTTTAAACAGGAGATTCTTGATGGGTCTCTGTATAACTATTGGTTAAAAAAGCTGCAGCAAAAATTCTCTTGGTTATCTAATAAGTTTTTTAAGCTTAGAGATGTGGTGTTCACCTGGATAAAGAGGTGAGTCAACAATATGACTACAAATCTGTTCTTGTTTGATAACTGGACTCCATTTGGTTCCTTGATTTCGTTCCTAGCCACGCCAGGAAAGACATCAAGATTTGGTATTTCCCAAAATGCAACCGTCTCAAGCCTTTTTTGCAATGAAAATTGAGCTATGTCCCCTGCAAGATCTGACAACCAAGTCAATCTCCAAACTTTTCTCACAACAGTGCAATTATCAAAGGGGGGCAATACTTACGAATGAGTTATTGAGGATATTCCGAGAGAGGCTTATTCAACCGGAGAAATTTACAATCAAATTTGGGGGTACTCACAACCTGTCCCTTGGGAAAGTATAATCTGGAACAAAGGAGGTGTTTCGAAACATAGCTTCATGGCTTGGCTTTTTATGCTGAATCGATGCCCAACAATGGATATAATTCTGAGTTGGGGTCTTCAGACAGATCCGCATTGTCTTCTTTACAATTTAGCCCCTGAAAGTCGGGATCATATCTTCTTCTTCTGTGGTTTCTCTTGGTCCGTCTAGCGTCTTGTGGCTGGCATAACAGATATTGACCCTCGATGCTCTTGGGATTGTTTCACTTTGCAACTCATTAATATTTCTGGTGGTAAGATCCGAAGAAAGCTAGCTTTTCTTAGTTAGCATGCCGTTCTCTATTTCATCTGGACAAAGAGAAATAATCGCTTACACACATATATTTCGTGTAGTGTGGATACAATTGTGAAACTGGTAGACAACTTTGTGTGTCACAGAATTGCAAATCTCAAAGAATCAAACTCTTTGCTAGTGTCAACTCTATTCCAACAGTATAACAGCCTAATCGGAGGGTGATTCAATTTCCTCCGATGTTACATGTCGTTTCTCGTTTCGATCCTGAATAGATTCTCAAATATAGTTCATATTTGATTTTTGTTGTATTTTATATAGATTCTTTTTTTTATGACTAGACTTAGGCTTTTGTTTTTTTTTTTACTGTTTGTATTGAGTTAGAATATAATATTCTAGCCTTTCATTGGGTTTGTATGTTTTTTCTTTCTTTTGTATTTTAATATGAAGGTCTGTTTAATAAAAGAAAAAATAAGTTAAATCCCTAAAAAGAAAAGAAAAATCCGTTATCCCGCAGTTCTAAACGGGCTGGCCCGTTTTGGACCCATTCGTTTTCTAATGTTTCTGGATTGCTCCCTTTTATATAAGGCTATTTCTGTGATATTTTGTGGCAAGTCATAAACTAGGGGCACTTTAGCTGTTGTTGTTTTTTTTTTTTTTGAACATTCACTTTAGCTGTTGTTGATTCAGTAAAGGTGGCTGACTCATCTTTGAGAGACAAAAACGGACGAGTTTTAACATGTAAGGGCAGTGTAAAAGAATGTTGATGAAATATGTCACATAACTCATCACTCATGGCAGGAAATGTGAGCAGCTTACCGTAATTCTTATTAGATATACGCAAACTATTTGCTTCAGTTAAGAACGAAGGTTCTACTTCTGAGCCTATGATGTAATGATGATTCCACATACATTAAAAAAATTTACATTATGAATAATATGCATATATGTATCTCTCCTTTATTAAAGTTGCATTTAGGAGTTACAATTAATATATAAGAGCCACTGATTAGGGTGGGGGCAGAGGTACCAAACCGAAATTACCTGAAATAAAACAGATATATCATTTTTATGTCGAACAAACTGAACCGAATCGAATATATTGATACATTTGTTTAAAAACTATGATTTTTAGGTTAAATATACACGAAGAATGTATTAAAATATGATATTAATTAATCTTATTTATTCATCTGTATATTTACTTAATTTATAAATGCACAAAAAAATAAAACAGAAAAATTTGTAAATTAAATTTAAATTCAATTTTAGTTGGTTTCCCAAAACCTGAAAATCATAAACTCGAAGAACGTGAACCAAAACAAAAACAAAAAAGAATGCCTAGCTAGTCGTAGTGCGTGATATTTCCTTCTGCAAAAGATATCACCTTACTACCAACTCATGCACTTGAGTTAAACCTTCTGAAGCTATTGAAAACACATTTTCCACGAGTACTTCGATAAAATAATTTCGATCCAGTTCTTTGTCGCAACATAGGAGCACAATAGGTACATGTCGTCCATTATTATTAGTATTTTATTTTTCTTCTGGATCAATTCACATTTATCTTACCGATTATAATTCATTGTTGCGTAATGCATTAGTTAGTGCACTGTGCACGATTGCTTCATGATTACTACATGTAAAAACTAAAAAGCACTGGTGGGTTTGAAAAAAAAAAAAAACTGTTGAAGATGCAGCTTCGGCTTATACCTGTCGGAGAAAAACCGGTACGTAAAGATGCTTCTTCTCGTGGTGCAGAATTTGGTTAAGAGATTGGGAAACCACCCAAATGGCGCGTAGGAATCGGATTCGTGTGTGCAGTTTTGGTGAAAGATATCTTCGATGAGACAAATCCGTCTGTTTTTTTTTCTTTTTTCTTTTTTGGGGTTAATGGTCCGATTAGAATTATTGGAGAGAACGTTGTTGTGAGTTATAAGAATTAGTTCGTTTTGCTTTTCAGGATTTTTTTTCACTCATTGCTTTTCAGTCTGGCAGATTCAAAGCATCTCAATTTGGTGCAATCCATCTCATCTCCACTTTACGTTGAGCCTTTGATGCTTAGTTTTGTAGCAACGTGACACAAGCTTTGATCGGTATTATAATATTTAGGTTACTGTTGACTGAAATTAGTGAAGTAGCATATTAATTAATTAATGAATATGATCATTATTTGTATATGTAGAAATAAATAACTGTCTGTGCGTGTGGTCCTAATTTATAATTTGTTGATGCTGTAAAAGAGTGTCATAAAAGAGCGTGTGTACTTGGTTGTTATATAATATAATGTATGGTGAGAAGTCATCATAATTTTTTCATCTAGAAAAGGTCATCATATTGAGGTTCAAAAAAAAAAAATTCATCATATTTTGTGCTACATATCTTAAATAGAAAAAGATTGTATTTTTTGTCAAAAAAAAAAGATTGTATATATACGACGTTTATATATTGCCATATATATAGGGCGACCTACTTTTTAAATGGTTAAACAAAAACAAAACAAAAACGTTATTTAATTATCTTTTCCTTAAAGCTATCTTTATAATTTATTTGATACTTGCTTATCATTCCATTCAAGGACTTACATTATTTTCCTATAATCACCGTATAGTTTTCACATAATCTCATGCATACACGTCTAAAGTGTGTGTGGTGCTGTACGGCAAGTGTATAATGTATTATTACTTTTCTATTTAAAGTTATAATGTATTATTACAACACTTAATTATGTGTAGTACAGACATATACCTAGCTATTATAGAAGAACATAAACGATTTGGTAGAAAGATACATGTTTTCCGTATGATTTTTAAAAATTTTTTTTTTAAGATATGAACATGTTTTCCGTTTTTTTAAAAAACATGTTTTCCGTATGGTTATCATTTCAGAACAGTATTAACTATAAATTACAATTAATTTAGAAAAATAATCATAACTCAAATAGGGTTGTTCTTCCAAAATATTCAATTTATAAGCATTATTGTGCGTTGGATGTAGGCAAATGGACATCACATCAATAGATTTAAAGAAAGGTTCGCATATTTTTGTGGCTTTATAATATTTCCAAAAATGTACATTTGTATATCGCCAAAACTTCATAAAGTACGTCGCTTTGGTACAAAAACTAAAGTACGCAAACATGCATTATGAATTATAGTTTTCCACGCTAAACATTCGGTCTTTCAATCAGCAGAAAATTAAAATCCATTAAACCAATCGTCTGTTTCTAATTCGAAGAGAAAAAAAAAATCAATTAAACTAATCGTTTGTTTCTGGTCCGTAGGTGTGTAGTCGAACAAATTGTGTTAAACCCCCCGCCCCCCCCCCCCCCCCCCCCCCCCCCCCCCCAAAAAAAAAGAATACCAACGGTCATTTAAAAAGGATAAAAGACGTACAAAATACAGTAATCACATAACATTTGCTAAAAAAAATATACATACTATTTTGACACTCCCAAAAATACATAAACAATGAATCATAATCTATCTCAACACTCGAAATTACCACTACTAAGAATTTAAACTCGGCTTTTATGCTTTGGTTCTTCTTGGATTTGTTTCTTTTTTTTTTAATAAAAAAATTGTTTCATTTTCCCTTTTACTCTTGTCATTTTTCTATGGCCTTTTGTGTGTTTTCCATTGTTTGAGATTTAGTTTTTTTTCACCTTCGATCTAGTTTTTCCGGGAATCTGTGTTCTACCAGATTGATCTATTCCACTTCTGTATTACACTTCTGTATTCTACCCATGTATTCCACCTTGTTCAATATTAAATATTTTAGATGGAAAAAAGATGATATATATAATATAGCTTGGGTATTAAAAAGCTCATATATATTATCTCCATTTAACAATTTCAAAATAAAATTTCTGGTAAATTCTGTGTTTTCATTTTATAACGTATATATACAATTTAGGAGATTGTTTTTTTGTATCTCAAGGTCACAACTGTTAAAACAATAAAGCATGTCAGTTTGTATAAACGCAAACGCCATTTTTAGGAATCGCGTATGGACAACATAAAAGCAACAAAAAAAGAAGCTTTTGTATTTGTCAGCAAAACAAGGGATATTTTTCCAATTTAGAACAGCCGGCAGGCGTATAATGGTATTATTCGGCCATAACTTATCACAAAAAGTGGCAGCAAACACATATAGTGGATTCTGCGAATTTGTTCCATAAGTTTCTGGACAAATTTTTTTAATGCTTTTCTCTGTGTTCTTTCGTTCTTTTTATACGTTTGTCTTCTACCACTTTCACATTTTTTACATACACATATATACCATTATTTATTGATGTTATATATATATATATCCTACTCACAAGTCTTTCACTTTGCACTTTTGAATAATTTCCTTATTTTATTTGATTGTGGATGTTTTGTGAAGCCGACAGTATCACTCTTCTTGATCTCCACTAGCAAAACAATTG